ATAGCAGATTTTTCTCGTCCGTCCACGCTTCGTAATGGCACTAAGTAAATCTATTGGGCATTTGTGCACCGATACTATGACGTCGAAGACGATGAACCTGGGATACCCCTTTGTAGTGGTCCTTCGTCCTCGAGCCAGCCTGTCGGGTGTTTACGGTCAGGCCATGGACGGGATGAATGTCATCCCACACACCGCCCCTAGTGGCGACGATGCCGTCCCTCGCCGGTATTGACAAGCAGGATATACATATCTACTTTCCGTCTCCCAAATCCCATTCCTCTCTTTGATTACGGTCATCACTCCGCGCCCATTCCTTTGTTTTCCAATAGGAACCTCCACTTTAATCGTCGATCAACATGTCTGGGTACTACGGTCCCTCCTTCAACCACAAGTCATCGCGACCTCCATCTCTTGCAGCGTCAAGAGCAAATTCCTCATACAGAGTTGCTCGCAGTGCACCCGTCACACCTCGCAATGGTTCGATCACCACCCCTCGCAATGGTTCCATTGCCGCCACAATCGCCGGTACGACTGCACAACAAACAGCTGCCAACACAGCTGCCAACACTGGTGCAACGACACCCGCATTGCTCTCGAGAGTGAACAGCAAACTAGAGAATGAAGCCAACGGCAAAGAAGAGGCTCCTTCCATGAACTCCGAAGTATTGCGCAATGAGAAGGGCGAGCTCATTGTTGGAAGAATCGCAGGCGGCAAGCATCTTACCGATGACATCGAGGACATCGATCCCGGTTGTGGCGAGATCAAGAAGGTCGACTGCGACATGCCTCTTACATTGACCGAGATGGTCCACCATGAGGGCAAGGACTACATCGTACTCAGCTTCGCGACTGGTGACAAGGAGAACCCGTTCAACTGGAACCCCTGGTACAAGCGCAGTATCACCACGATGCTGAACTTGATGACACTGTTCATCGGTCTCGCAACAACGGCATACAGTTCGGGCATCAACAGGATGTGCGAGGAGTTCGGTGTCGACACAATCTACGGTCAGCTTGGACTGTTCACCTTCAACATCTCTTGTGCCATCGCACCCATGGTACTGGCTCCTTTCTGTGAGCTTGTCGGACGCAAGATCGTATACGCCAGTGCCTTCCTCTGCTTCTCGCTCATCTTCATCGGTCTCGCACTCGCACAGAACATCTCCACCATCATCGGCCTCCGTCTGTTACTCGGTCTCTTCGGCTGCGTCGGTACCATTCTCGTCGGCGGTACTTTCGACGACATGTACGAACCCCACAAGCGTGGCCGACCGATGGCCATGTTCGCTTTCGTCGCCATCTTCGGTACTGTCGCTGCACCCATCTACGCCGGCTTCATCGATCAAGCGCTCGGATGGCGATGGGTTGAGGGTATTCAGGGCCTCGCCAATATTCCCCTCTTGATCCTCATCTTCGTCGCCTTCCCCGAGACACGCGGTGGTGCCAGACTACACAAGCGAGCCAAGCAACTGCAAAAGGCAACTGGAGATGAGCGATACGTCGCGGAAGACGATATCTACACCCCCGATGTCAAGTCCATGCTGAAGGCTTCGTCCGTCAAGGCTATCCGCATGCTTGTCACAGAACCTGTCGTTTTCGCCTTCGGTCTGTGGATTGCCTTCTGCTGGGCCGTCGTCTTCCTGTTCCTTTCCGTCATTCCCATTACCTTCACCGAGAAGCGTGGCTGGTCTGAAGGTGTCAGCGGTCTGCCTTACATCTCTCTAGCCGTTGGTACTTTCCTCGGCTGGGCTGCCCACCACCTCCAGATGCGCAAGTACAACCAACTCCAAGAAGACCCCAATGTTCGCATCGTTCCTGAGCACCGTCTCTATGGCGCCATGTTCGGCGCTGTCTGGCTGCCCATCGGTCTCTTCATCTACTCCTTCACGCAATACGGATACCTGAGCTGGGTTGGCCCCGTCATCGGTCTCGCGCCTATCGCATTCGGTATCTTCTTCGTCTTCGAGAGCACATATTCCTACACTGCCGATTGTTACGGTGAGACGTCTTCCTCGGCTATCGCTGGTCAGGGATTAATGAGGAACACGCTCGGTGCTGTTACCCCACTTTTCGCGAGCGCTTTCTTCCACAACGTAGGAAGTCAGTATGCGGGTTTGATCCTTGCGATGTTCGGAACTGTGCTGAGTTTGATCCCGTTCGTTATGTTCAAGTATGGACATCTGCTCCGCGCGAGGAGTAAGTTGGCGAAGGAGTACTAGTGGAGGAGAGAGTTGTTCAGTCGTTCATAGCGCATTAGCGTCGCATATTAATCAATTACATTATTGCAATGCCACGTAGGTGGCATCCTGCAGGTGTGATCTTCAGCCGTAAGCGAAACAACAGGCAACAGTGATGCCGCCTTCTACTCCACGGAAGATTCCACACAAACCTACAGTTCTGCAACATGCACTCATCATGATCGCATTTTCCTGATCGTTTTTCTCTTAGCTACAGAAGCGGCTTCCTCTCAGAGAAGAGCGAGATTGTCGCAGATAGCGCTCGGTCCATACTCTACAAACGCTGGCAGGTCGCAACCCATGCTTTTCCGAGAACACATCATATTTTACCTTCAAAATACACCACAAAGACGAAGTCTTCCAGTTACGACAATGATGCTCGTCAATCCGAGTTCGTTTTGCAAGAACTGCCGAAAACTCGATATTGAGCGTCTGTTTGGCGTTGCCGACGCAAAGAATACTAGAATTCCTGATCACAACGGAAGATACTATGCTTACATAAAACCGGGAGGATGTGGGCTATGCGATTTCTTCATGGAACGTTTACCGGAACGATGCAAAGTACGCGGCGCGGATGGCACATGGTCCATCGATATGAACTCTGCATCTTCCCCTGACGCGAGAAATCCTGCACATTTATATGTCGAATGCTACTCGCCTAAGCAAGAAGAGGGAAGCTTAGGAGGTCTACGGATGACCGTCTTTTGTGACAAGCTCGAATCGGGGACCGAACGTGTTGAAGTCTCACCATTTGTGTGTGTGTCTATTGGAGAGTCACAAACTCACAAGCTCCAAGTACCGACCCCAAGCCTGGATCTAGCACCGATATCTCATTGGTTAGACAAAGAAAGATGCACGCAACAAGCTCGGTGGTACAGCAGAAAGGATGACGCGAGCTTAGCTCTCACCGTTATCGACTGTGCTACGCGCACGCTTGTGCCCTTGCCCAAAGAAGAGCTTTATGCAACCTTGAGCTACGTCTGGGGACGTGCTGTTCAGCCTACATTAGATGACACCAACGGTGACCCGTTGCCCCTGCATCTTCCAGATACGATCCAAGACAGCATCGATGTTTGCAACGCGCTGAGTATCCGTTATCTATGGGTTGACAGATATTGTATATCAACTGAAAGTAGCCATCTTCGAAGTCTGCAGATCAGTAGGATGGACGAAGTATACCAAAACTCGTTCCTCACGATTGTGGCATGTGCAGGGAACGATGCCAACTATGGTTTGCCGGGCATTTCGAGACGACGAAATCCGAATCCTTCCATCGAACTTGCTGGACTTGGCTGTATAGGAGCGCTATCACAGTCTATCGAGATTCATTCTAGCATCTGGGCGACACGTGCGTGGACGTATCAAGAAGCCCTCCTCTCGCAACGACAAATCTACTTCACGGATAAGGAGACATTCTTCGGGTCAGCTGAAGGCGTTCAAGGGGAGATAGGGGTAATTGCCAAAGCGAGTCTGGAGCAGTTTCTGCCCGAGTCTTTGCGTACTGGATATCCAGTTCCGGAAACTGTGCGGACTGCGCGGGACAAGAATCTCAGGAAATACTCACTCGGAAAACTGCATGAATGGGAGTGCATCTCCAACTACTCCACACGGACCCTGACGTATCAGGGCGATATTCTCAACGCTTTACTGGGTATCTTGGCATACTATCAGCGGGAACATCGTATCTCTCATCTGTGGGGCGTTCCGTTCTCTACCTCCTTCCCAGCGTCAGCGCCTTCCACCTTTTTCAGGTTCGATTTTAATCTGCGCTGGATCATTACTGGTCCCAGTTCTCGCCGGGAAGGATTCCCAAGCTGGTCCTGGACTGGTTGCAACGCTTGTGTACAACATTTTAACATGCACCGGGAGACTGTGTATCGTGTACCTATGACTAAAGAGGAGGCCATTCATATCGAGGTAGAACTTGCATCTGGTCGGCTCTTGAAGTGGTCCCATTATCAGGCCGACTATGCAAACCTGCAAGACTACACTCAAGTTCGATCATCGAATGAAAACGCTGATCGGCTGAGTCGGTTCATCCACCTCGATGCGTTGACATCTCGGATCGTTGGAAAGCAGCGGGACGACGCGGGTGTTCATTACTTCCGTATCGACGCATCAACGGTATTTCACGATGAGCATAAGTACTTCGGTGCAGTGGAAATCTCAAGCTACACAGAGTCTAATGTAGAAACCGAGGAGAGTATCCCCGTCGGCTCACTTCTGGCATTACATTTCCCCGAACTCGATGACTCGAGCGTGAGAGGAGGTGTCAAAATGGCGTCGTTCTATTCGTTCCCCGGTGATGGATGCGCATTGCTCATCCGAAATGTTGGAGACCATTGGGAGCGAGTCTGCCTGTTGGCGAGTTGTCACGACTTGAAACGAGAGGAGGTTCATAAAGTCCGCAGGAAGATCCGGTTGGGATAAGCACGTGACTAGGGGTAGCTACAATAGGGTTCGCATTTTCTAAAGAATGTATCAGGGCAGGAGTCTATATCACCTCATGGTCTGTGAACTTATTGAGTTACAGTAGCATGTATACTGCAAGCTGTGGCCCGAATTTCACAGAGACGAATTTTTATTTTAGCTAAAATCGAGTAATTCTAAACTGCCATAGTGAAGATTGGGAATAGAGAGCATGTAGCTTTTTGGAAAGACTCGATGTAAGATGAAAAGAAATGTTCAACCCGGAGATAGTCAGGGAGGGCAAAAGAATAGAAACGAATGGCATCAGGTCAGATGTATTGCTTGTACCCATCATTAGTTGGAGATCCTAGTCAAAGTATAACGCATACATACGGCCTTCCATCCGGCCCAGAGATCCTGGTGGGCGTAGCGCTTGATGATCTCGCGAGCTTCCTTCAGGATACCGTAGTCTCCTACGCAATTGAGTTTTGCGGCCCGGCAGCGGGGTGGTAGGAGACCATCATAGTCGGTTCCGGTGTTATTCAAAAAGGCCCAGTATGCCAAGACACTGAAATCCATCGACGAATCGTTTTCAGGAAGTGGATAAAGTTTTGCAGCATCCAATGCTTTAGTTGCCAAGCCAAATTGGGTCAATGGACAAAGTTTTGATCCACATTTACCGACGTCCTTGGTGAAAGTATTATGCAAGGCGGTTTTGCACGTCTGCAGGAGCTCTTGAAGTACGGCAGTACGAATTTGACCAGCTTGAGCTATATTCAGGGTTAGCATCTATGAGATGGCAAAAGTAGGGCATCGTGCAAAGGAGAAAATTGAACTGGCCTGTAGCCTACATCAAGATGAAAACATGCAAAGTAGATGATCCAACGTCAACGTAGGCTCCAGGGTGTTCAATGTTTTTCGTGACTGATCTCGGCCTGTGTGCTCACCTTGGATACGGGCCGGGAAGTCAGCTCGGACATGCACCAACTTATCATCGTGTATCACGCAGTAACGCTTGTCTTTGTCGACGCAGATCTCCATGGCCAGCTTATTGACCAGGTATTCGTAGTCAGCCATGAGCCCGAACGCGGCCGTAATCATCGTAAAGTCTTGAAGATCGATGTCGGAAGGCCAAGACACGCCGCCGTCTTTGTGTTGTTGGATCCAGTTCTTCAACTCGGCTGCAGCATGTAGGAGACGCTCGAGGTCGTACTTGTCGGACAAGACTGCAATCTGTACCAGCTCCTGCTGCGACAGCGTTTCAGGTAGCTCTTGAAGTTGCCAGTGAGCGATTCGGAGGACGATGTGGAAGGCGTAGGCTGAATCCTCAGGAAAGGCGATTTCGGACATGTCGCTCTCAGCCCAATTGCCGCTCATCATGGCGTCCCAGGCTTTGCTAGCATGTCGAAAGACGCCTTTGTTGACTTGATAGGCCTTTTGACCATCAGCATGCTCCGGTGACCCTACTATAAGAGTAAGGTCGTACTGGCTGTCGATCGTGATAACTTCGAGGTTAAGATCGGTAATTTTTCTCTTGTTCTGGAGGTCAACTGCCTCATCATGAAACTCAAGTGACTCTCCATTGCAATACCCACTACCGAAGATGGAGTCGTCGTTCGTAGCTGCAAGGGTGGATTGAACATCTGATGTATCCTGTAGGCTATCGCCAGGGCTGCGAGCACTTGATGGTGTGGTCATGATGTAGATGGCCTGGATACTCGTGATGGTTTTTGAGGGATGCTTCGTCGACGCTGTATACTCGAAAGTATAGGGTAGAGTTGATGGTAGAGTCCTGGAACAGATCACGTAGGCGGTAGGTATGTATATTACCGGTCGGACGATCAGCTAGCAGTGGCCGAAGCTGTCAGACAGGTGAGAGAAGCTTGAACGATACCATCTTCCCCGGAGTCGTCTGTTCGCCACCGGATCTGAGGTAATAACTTCATGTATAGTGGAAGTACCTTTACCGACTCCTTCGGGGATTGCAAGGCCACGTATGCCTATTGACCTGGTATTGCGGTACATTTCAAGACCTAGAAGCTTGAGTCGTCACCCACGTATCCCATGCCCTTCCTCCACCAATTCCAAACACCCATCTTCTGCATACTAACTCCGAAGTCTTTCACGCTCTCCACTTCTTCTAATTTCCCATATGCGGCATTTTCTCCCGCCTCTTTCCCTTCGACCTCCTTTCCGGCAGGCTTCCTGACAAGCTGGAAATCCTTGTAACGCAGTCTCTGAACACTTGCTACCCATTCTTTTACACCTACTTCGGAGCCTTGGCAATACATGATGCCTGGACAGCCACCATAGCGTAGTAGAGCGTAGATGTGACAGTTGGATGCAGCAGCTTTCAACTTGGCCACTTTCTTGCGGGAAGTTATGTGATGGGTCCGTATCAGCGCGTTATAGATCGGATGAGACATGCCATCGATAGGGGTAGACCCAAAGCAGAAAATGGACGTTGTGTTCGCAATGTCATGGTTTGCGAAAGATGCACGGGGATGAACGCGGCCGCACGTGACGTCACTAGCGCAAAATGATTTTCCAAGATCGCCGAACGCCAATGACGTGCGGGCGAGACGTGAGCGATATTCTCGAACGACTTCAACAACGACCGTATGGATCGCTGCCGTATACGGAACTCTACGTATGGAAAGTTATGAAGCCTACTTTGCTTCATAGAGTCGCCGCCCCATCACCGTCGGTTCTGAGCTTCCTGAGGGCCCAAGTCACCAATGCATTCGAGCGACCGCTGGCGCAATGCGCACAAGTAACCCAGCAACGACGTGGATATGGGACGAATCCTGGGACGAGATGGGCTCCTGAAGATGCGACATGCAGGATAAAGACATCAAATTGCAAGAGGAGAGAGGGCAGTAGGGCATTCGCAACTTCGCAATGTCTCCCGGCCAGGAGGGTTTCGCAACCAGTCCTCGAGACTTCGCTCGCTATTCCACAGGCTACGGCTCTTTCAGTTAGAGACATCGACCCTCAGGGTCACCGCAGTTTCTCTACAACGCCTTCGAACAATGGGTGGAATATCTTCAACTCAGCAAAGATGCGAAAACTGGCCCAACTGCAAGCACCGCAGCCGCCACCGGATGAACCGTCGTCAGGTTCAACGGGGTTCGGAAGCAGTCTGGGACGTATAATGCGACCTACGAACGAGCTCAAGATGCGGTGTACCGAACTTGACGAACACGGCAATGTCACACTTGTTAGCGGAGAGTTCAAGAAGAGCGAGCTGATCGCCAAGGTACGCATGGCAACGAATCTATCCAGATCATACAACTGATACTTGAGAATAGTACGGTCTGCTTCCTCGCGATCTCCGCAAAATCGATTCCTCGCTCCTCCCACATATTCTCGTCCGGCCGTCTGCGATCCTGATAAACCTCCTCAACCTTCGTGTCCTCCTCAAGCACAACCGCGTACTTGTCTTTGATGCATACGGTACCACCGACTCGAAATCGCAGTCTGTCTTCATGTACGATCTTGATCTCAAACTCCGCCAGAAAGAATCCACCGTCAACGGCACCCTCGCGTACGAATTTCGAGCACTTGAAGCTGTCCTCATAAGCGTAACACTGAGTCTGGAGAAGGAGTTCGAAGGTGTCAGTGAGCCAGTGGTGAGAGTTCTGAGGGAGCTCGAGGAAGACATCGATAGGGACAAGCTACGGTACCTGCTCATCTACAGTAAGAAGCTGGGTAGTTTCGAACAAAAGGCACGACTAGTCAGGAATGCGCTCGAAGAATTGCTGGAAGCGGACGATGATCTCAGCGCCATGTACTTGACTGAGAAGGCTGAGGGCAAGACGCGCGAAGACGACGATCACACGGAAGTCGAGATGCTCCTGGAATCTTATCACAAGGTCGCCGACGAAATCGTTCAAGCAGCTGAGAACTTGGTGTCGAGCATCAGGAACACCGAGGAGATGTATGTGTTCTATTCTTCTTGTACAATCTCCTGTCACTAACTCTCCACAGTGTCAAAGCCATCCTCGATGCCAACCGCAACTCCCTCATGCTTCTCGACCTCAAGTTCTCGATCCTTACTCTCGCGATCACAGCCGGGACCTTCGTCGCCGCTCTATACGGTATGAACTTAAAGAACTTCATTGAAGAATCCGATCTTGGTTTCTTCGGTATAAGCGCCTGGTGTTCAGTCTTTGGCTTCTTTGTCGCTGTATACGGTCTGTCAAGGCTTCGAAAGGTACAACGGGTCAGCATGTATGGCCACGGACCTGGTGCGCTCGTTAGCAGGGAGCCAACCAGGCCGACTGTAGCTCCAGGCGGAGGATGGGGCCTTGGTGCGTGGGGTGGTGGCAGTAGAAACGGTGTCAGTCGAGGAGACATGGGCAGTACGATGCCGACCGGAGCACCGGATCTGGGTGGAATAACGAAGAGAGGTGACACACTAGCCAGTGTCATGGAAAGAGAAAGAGCGTTGGCGAGGAAGTTGGCCAAGGTCGAGCAGAGGGCTGACGATGCTACGAGACGTTGAGGTTGGCTTCATTTGCCTTTGTGGAAGGTTCTTGCATTTCTTCGCTCTGGTTTTGATCTCTGCTCAGATATCCCACCTCTTTCTTAGACGCTTTTTGTATGAATAACGCACGGGTTTGGCTGCATAGCGATGGCGTTTGGGACTAATGATAAGATGGGCACTCTTAGACGGGGTACTCATTTTGTATCATCAATGTATAGTAGTATAAGTTCATAACCTGCTCAGACCTGTCCGATTTTCCAAGCAATCATAGTTGGGTTGCATCCATCCTTCATGTTCTTCATTCCGTGAAGCTCAGCCTGTTGCCACTATGCGCCGATAGTCCTGTCCATGTCCTTGTCTCCACCATATCCTTGTTCTCTCCTCTGCTTCGCCGCATTCTCGTCATCGTCCTTCAACGCCTCAGTACCACCGAATCCACCTGCTCATGATTAGCCTACCATCCTTGATTACAACACTTGTTTGCCGTTGACGTACCTTCCGCGTTCGCTTGGCCCGTTGAACTTGTTGTCTTGCCACCCATACCGCCTTCTTGGATACTTTGTCCGTATCGAATCTTGTCTGCGGGGGTAATGCCTTGGGTGTTGGGCGCGCCGGGGTCGGAGGTCTTCTTGTTGACTGAGGTGCCTGTTGAGGGATCTGCGGAAGCCATTGGTTAGCACTTGCACCTTGACAGGGAGAGAGAGGAAGTCATACCGCCTAGTTGACCGGCTTCCTTCGCGTGAGGCTCAACAAATGTGTGAACGCCTTCGTACTGGTTCTGGCGCTCGCCGCCGGGCTCGGTGTCCATGAGCTTGTCTGACATGTTTGCACGTACGGAGATTGTTTATTGTGGATGTGAGAAGGTATGTGCGAGGAGAACGTGTAGAAGTAATTGGATTGTGTGAGATGGTAGTGGTATTGAAGCTCAGAAACTCGAGGTATGGGGAAAGCTCCATGCTATGACGTAACCACCAAACGCCGAACGCGAGACGCGCTTTGCAGCGCCAGAACACCCTGGTATGATGACACATTAACTACCTTTCCTCCACGGCTCAACGGTATGCGTGTAAATGTGCGGCTATGACGAATCGAAATCGATGCCCATGGCGTAGCTGCGACAGTTGTTAGTATAGGCATGACTTTCTGGAAGTCCATTACACACCTTTCGTACAATCTCATGTACTTTGCGACGAAAGCCTCCAGATGGAAGATCTGTTTGGCGCCCATCTTGCACCTGTGCTCGTAAAACGCCGCCCACTTGATAACCTCTGGCTTCAGCGCATCTTCGGTCATTGGTATGAGTTTCCAGGTGAGTGTTTTTATGATGGTTGTAGAGTCGATGCAATGCGATAGCAGATCGTAGAGTGACGCGCGGACTTGCAGGAGGCGTTGAGGAGATCGCTCTTCGACGATTTGGCGGGCGATTTGCTGGATGAGTGCCTCCCAGTCAGGCGGTGGGATGTGCGTCTGGTCGGTGATTTTCTCGCTGTTGATATATTAGCTGAGGTTGAGGGTCTAAAAAGAGACGAAGCCATACTTCTGAGCGTGCACTGCTTCGAACATCAACAGCGCTTTCCTCAGGTTTCGCCCGCTGTCCTTCGCTATCCTCTGGTTCAGACTCTCGACATCCTTCCATCCTTCCTTCTTGCCCACTTTGCTCAACACGCTGCAGATCTCGGTCTCTGTAGGCGCTGAAACCCTCACAAGAAGCGTTCGACTCCTGATGGGCGCGATGATGTTGCTCGTGGAGTTGGCGAGCAAGATCAATCGCAAGTTGGGACTGTACTTCTCCATGGTACGTCTCAGCGCCGCCTGCGCATCTCTTGTCAGATGATCTGCCTCATTGATCACTACGACCTTGAAGCGCTGCTTTGCGCCCAAGTCGACCTGTTGTGTCTGTGCAACTTCCTTGAGCAGGTCTTGGACGACCACTCTATCGTAGTTTCCGACATCTGAAGGTGTGATTTCGAGGTGGTATACGGAAGCGACAATGTTGAATTCGAGTTTGCGGTTCGTGGTAGTCTGGAAGACGCGCGCGTCGATCTTGATCTTTTCGACACCGGGGCCGTAAAGCTCTTTGAGTGTGGCGACTATGCGCGTCTTCTTTCCTGCGCCGGAAGGACCGTATACGAGCAGATGTGGGAAGTCGCCGCTTTGTGCCTACACATTGTTGCGTTAGTTGCCGCAATCGATGGAGGATGTCAATGTTTCCTTACAAGAGCTCGGAGACGATCTGAAAGCTCGGGATGGTAACTGAGCGCCTCAAGATTGCGTGGTCTATGCTTGTCTACTAAGAGCGCCATCGTTTGGGTAAGTCGTGGTGTTGTTCGTGAATTTGCGGCTATCGGTGGATGGTGAGTTGGACGCGTCCGGGCGACGCGTAAAGTGGTGGGCTAGCTTGGCAGCCCACACGTCGACGCCTGATCGCGCTCTTCATCACGCTGCATCCTAAAGCAAAGATTTGAGCATCTCCAGCACAGCGACTGGGCTTATTCAAACGAACGAGTCATTTCGCATTCTACCAACTGAATCAAGCCCGTTCACTGGTTGAGCCTCAAATCCATCACCGAGACATCTGTTTCCCAGGAACCGAAGTGAACTATCTGGCCGGCAACGCCTTTGACAGGACACACTTCAACTGACGAGATTTCTGCCACCATCACCCTCTGTTCCTTAGTCCATGTCCTTATTCTCTCTGATTCGACCAACAATGGTCGACGAGACGACCACCACACGCCCATTCGGTGACCGCCCAACCTCCTTGTCGACGTACTCGAGACATCCAGAGCGTACCGGTGTACAAATTCTGACTGAAGGAGTCGCAAGTTCTCTATCCGTGGGACCAGGATTGTTGTGCAAGCCGATATAAGTGTCGCCGATCCGCATTATACCGATATTGCGGCTGTTATCCAATGTCACCTGTCCTAGATCTGTGGGTGGAACAGAAACTTCAGCGACTAAAAATGTTCATCTTTTTCTGGGATTGCTTACCCCGAAGGCCGTATTCTTTGGATATGCGCGTTTGCGATGAACGAGCCTTGTGGATGACTCTGGTTATTGAGGCGTCGAGGTGCAAGTATAGGATGTACAGAGCGAGTGCTGCGATTAAGAGGAGAAGCCAAAAAATCTGTTCGAGGCATGTTAGACGCTTTGGTGTTGGTATAGATGGCTGACATGTCGTGCAAGTGGAAGAAAGTGGAGTAGGTGTCGATGTTCAGAAAAGTACGATCCGGGTTAACCTAGTCTGGAAGTGAAGGTGAAAGAGCAAGGCCGATCACGTAAGGGGGCAAACCAACATGGCACGCAAACGCGGACATCACCAGTAAGGATGTGCAGGATCATAACCTGCAGACTTGCCTGCATCAACTCAACGACCTCATACCGCTAGACCTCTAGCCATGAGCGCCGAACTCTTGCGTTAAGTGAGATGTCTCAGAAGCTAGATACCTACATTGTAGAACCAGGCGAGAGAAATGGCAAAGCCACGTTCAGTTGATATGGGTGGTGAAACAGTCGGGGCACAAGCACCTGTCGCTATCACAGAGTTCTATCACGCCGCGGAATCACCTGGATCATACAGTGCTTATCATCATGTTCTTCCTCCTTCATAATGAATCAGAAACACGTTCCAGTCACTTCATCGCAACTGCACACTTTCAACTGCCAGGTCTCAGGTGCGACTCAGAAGGACATCTACCAAACGGCAGCAAACATCCCGTTAGCTTCACTTCCAACTTCCAAAACGATATGGCGGTCTTCCATGGACCATCCACCACGCCTTCAAGCGAGCTGAACTCCTCAGAATCTGGTAAACTGAAGCGGAGAGTATCGAACGAATCAAACAACTGGGATGGTGAGTCCTCCGGCACAGAGCAATCGTTTCGTACAGCATACGCCGATATGCCTCCAAAGCCTAGGCAGACACGCTTCATCGAGCGATTTGAGAGCGTGAAGCAGCTGACGGAGAGTAACCTCGCTGTGTTACAGGCTGGGTATACGGGCGCACCACCACAGCCTAGATCGCCTTTCGACGGCGAGTTGCACCTCAGACCGTCTCCACGCGCAACAGCATTTCTCGTAAAACGCAAGCCGCTCCCAGATACAGCGCAAAAGGCACTCATAGAAATGAACGACGAGGCAGATATACAGTCACATGCAAAGAGCGCAGACGAAGCTTCCTATCAAAACCACACACTTGGACATGCAAGTCACGGCCGCAGACCATCTTTCCACCGCACAAATACCGTGTTCACGGATTTCTTGCCGTACGATCAATTGCGAACTTGGCAGCAGGTTGATAATGAGGAGTATCAGGACCGACGTAGGCATTCTCTCTCAGCTATTGCGCTGGAGGGGATGAAAAAGCTCAATCTAGACCGCGATGCACTATCGGCTCATAGCAAGAAGACTGCGAATCAATTGAAGAAAGTGATCAAACAGCACATACTTGACAAGGAGAAGTCAACTTCGTAGATTTTTGACGTACAACAAGTTGTCGCGCGACGCATGTTAGATTGGGAGTCGTAAAAGTTGTGCTTGGTAGTAAAAATGTTCCTACGACTGCGTCTGCAAACTTGACATAATATACAAACCTTATCCGCAAAAAAAGTGTTTCGTTCTCAGATTTCGTCCTCTGCGTCCCAGCGACATCGCATGAGCAAAAAGAACGTCGCCCGACCAGGGACTCGAACCCTGAGCCTTGAGATTAAAAGTCTCACGCGCTAACCAATTGTGCCAGCCGGGCTATGATTTGTTGATGAGCAAATTCCACGCAACATAATACTAGTATCTATTATAACTACGGCGCATCTGCAAAGTCGAAGTTTGCCAAAGGAAGTTTGACACAAAGTATGCTGACCGGTTCCATGGGGTCACGCTGCGAACGATTTACCTAATGGTTGGTAGCAGTGGTGGGGTGGGTCCACGCATTATGCGTCATCGATTTCCTCCATCAAAGGGACCACACAGGCAGCATAAACAAAGAATGTAGTCATGTGCATACCTCACAGCTAAAGCGTCAAGCGAAACACAGAGAACAAGTTAATCTGTTGCTAGATGTAATTACACATCTCCCAGATCCATTTACAGAAGAAGGCACTTTTGTGCTATATATCCAACATGCTTAAGTCGTCATATCATAGATGCCCCAGGCAACAACACTTACTGTGGCGCGTTGACCTTTCCAGCAACAAGCGCAATGAGCGCGGCACCAACACCGGATCCATCCTTCGCGATACCGATCCTGACTCTCTTCTCGCCCTTTGCACCGATTTCGGGCACCGCACGTAGCGCCTCACGGATGTACTTCTCAAAGTTGGGGTAAAATTCAACGAGCGAGCCATCGACACCGACATCGATCTCGTCACCTTCAGTGGCTTCGACATCCCCACGTGCAGGCTCAATGCCTGACTTTTGCTCTGTGGTAGCTGATCCCGAGGACTTGTCCAGACGACCTGTGTTGATGACAATACCGGCGATGGCGACGGCAGCAAGACGCGCCGCGCGGCGACCGATCGCTCCAGCGATTTCGCGGACTGCTTCTGCGTCCTCACGGCTGACGGCGGAGATTTTATACTTATCAAGTTCCTGTCGGAGCATCTGGTTGCCAGGCTTGTCATCGCCAGCGCACACGCTGAGCAAGCTAGTGTCGAGACCCCACTGCTTCCATATCGGGCTATCGTCGTGAATTTGAGTGGTGCTGTGGACATCGTTTGAAGACGAGTTGTCGTCAGTGAAAAGCGGAACATTGGGGTCCTTGATGAGCTTGAGCAGGGCAAGACGTAGAAGCTCTCCCAAGAACATGCCCGACACGCGCTTTTCGAACATTTGGATTCCAGGGTTCACAGAGTCCTTGTCAAGCTGAACGTCGTAGGGGCTGTTGGGCAGAGTGCGGAGAGAATTGTCAAACGAGCCCCACTCAGTGTTGACTATCATCTCCCCGGTTGACTTGTCGTATGCGCCATCGCTGGTGTCCTTTGACATCTTCTTGACCTTATCCAGCTTCTCAACGTAGGCTCCGTTGGTACCAGTTCCAAAGATGGCACCCAGTAATGTGCCAGTCTTGCCGGGCGAAGTGTATGAGCGCGCCATGAGGGTTCCGACAGTGTCGTTTACCAACGCAGCCACCTTGACAGGGAGGTGGAGCTCGTCAATCTCTTGCTGAAGCAGAGCGCATACATCCTTGCCAACCGCATCTTGAATGTCGAAGCCCTTTGTCCAGCGCATCAGCATACCCTTGTTGATTCCGATCTGGTGTACAGGGAATGAGAAGGTAAAGCCCAGGTTGAATATCTCCTCGTCCTCTGGCTCACCTGGCTTCCCCTCTCTGCGCCTGAGTGTCCCAGCGTAGTGTTCTTCGTGGTGCAGTTTGAGGAAGGCTTCGATCTGTTTCGCGAGGAAGGAGAAGAGCTCTTTTGATGTCTTCGCGACCATCAGCTCGCGCGGGATGGCTACCTTGCTTTGGGTGAGGGAGAAGGTAGTGTTGCCGTGGAGCTCGATAGAGCAGACGCGGAAGTTCGTACCGCCGAGATCGACGGCCATGTAGAGGCCCTGTACAGCATTAGATGACGGTGAAGACCGGCGCATATAGGACCCATACCTTTTCCGTGCCATTGGGGACGGCAGTGACGTATGTCGGGATCTGGCTCATCTCAGTGCCTTCCTTCTCTAGACCCTCGTCTGCGCGTCGTCAGTGACCAATTGCCCACTCCATATTCTCGTGCGTACCCATCTCCCGAATAAACTCCTTGACGGCCTTGTTGACGGCATTGTCGTCGAAGTCGAACTCCGCGGCGACGCGCTTCGCCTGGTCTTTGAGTGTCATGCTGCGCTTGTGTGGGGTGTTGAAGGTACCGACGAACTCGACCTGCTGCTCAGGCTTCGGGCAAATACTCGGTTCCTGGAGGACGATTGGATTCCGGAGGGTGAAGGAGGGAACTTGTTTGTTGATAACAGTGCGTAAGACGGCGTTGGAGAAGTGGGGTGCGAAGAAACCGGTACCCAGCGCTAGCAGCAGAACAAGGACGGTGACTACCGTGTGGGTCGCGAAGGGACTTCTTGTAGGTCTTGGGCGATCGGGTCGCGCGCTCTGTGTCGGGCTCTGAAGCGGGCGCGTGGCTTTATTGGGGCGTGACAGCGAGCTGATGCTCATTCTGCCCCGCGTTGTCCAGCTATGACGGAGAACGAGGGGTAGGCAAGCTTGGGCGTGCAATTACCATGCATGAACACCATCACTTGCATGCCAACGCCTTGGGATACGAGTCAAATTCACTCCCGGGGCGTGCAATTGGTTTAAAGGCGGGACGAGAGCATTGCCTCTCTGTCGGAACTCTTTGCACGGCACGCTGCGCTAGCGAAAGTAACCAGCGACCTAGCCGTCGGCATCGTGAAAGTGAGGAGCTTGAGCACGTGCACAATTTCCCGTGATCTACGTAGGCGGCTGATTCCGGAACAACGGCACTACGCAAAACCACAGAGCCCAGAACTTGGCAACAGCTTGATATCCTCTGTTAATCTCCTGCCTCCCCTGACAAGAAATCAGCTCGGGCAGACATCTCGCTAGTCACGAACAGAACATGGGGGAAAATAGTCAGGAGAAAGGAACGTCTTGCTTGCTTTTGTGCTCGTCGGCCTACATATGCTCAACTACGAAAATGCTTCTCCATCCAGCCTTCAAAATGGTACGCGCTACGGTTGGTGTAGCTATGGTAGATATACACAGCACTTGGGAATAGGATAAGCCCATGGGGGCAAACAAAGGAAAAAATGAATGACAAGGTACAAGCAAGCAAAATCCATATGCATGTATCAAACTCCGTAGTATAGCAAACAAGTGGTAAAGGGAAATAACCCAACCTCCTCTGAGCATAAAACCCATGCAGACAAGGAAAACATGATTAGCGGGCTGCCACAGTCTGTGTGTGAAGGAGAAAAAGGGAGGCTGTTGCCGCCGCCGTAAGAGCGTTCTACAAGTATGTACGATATAGACAAAAGAGAAAACCCGAAAGCAAAGGCTTCAGTCGTGCGAGGCCGGTTTGTGTACGTCAAATGTGTCCCTTGCCGGCCCAATTCTATTCGTCATTAGGACATCCACCATCTGGACGAGCCTCTGGCTGTCCATGAAGCCTCCCGGACCGCCATGGAGAGTCTTGTCGGCCGGATGGTGATGCTTCGGTGCGTATACGTGTTTGTGGAAAAAGGTGTCGAAAGAGACGTCTAGACTGCTTCGCTAGCTGTCTTAGACGAGAAAGGATGTGTGTCGAGTGAGGACCAGTAGATGATTTCGCCAATGTCGTCGAGGTTGAAACAGTGTCCATGCCAGATGCCAACATTCAAAACGGATGGCCGCCAAATCTAAGTCGAACATTATCCCAATTACCGAACGCCAACCGGGGGACGGGGTCCAAGGCTGCTTTGGCTGCTGTGCGCAGAGTTTTCCGTGGAATCTACTGCTTTTGCGCTAGCGGAACTATTTGATGCGCTTCCAGTCAGACTGCGAACTTGGGGACGAGACTTGGGCGGGTAGAGATTGCTCACCCCAGCGTGTTGTTCAACTTGTTGTGGTGCCACCTCGTTTCCAGGGTTTCGTGGCATGGGCTGCCTCATGCCAGGAGGCGATGGCCGCCCGTTAGGAATCATTCCATTTGGGGGCATGCCGTTAGGAGCCATGCCATTGGGAGCCATGCCGTTTGGTGGCATGCCGTTGAAGCCGTTTGGCGGCGATGGTCGGCCCATGGGACGCGGGCCCGGACTGAGCGGGTTGCCAGGTGACTGGCTCATGCGACGGGCGTTTGGTGCAGGGTAAGCACCGTAGCCTGCGCCCCCTGAAAGCTCATCTAGACGAGCCGATGTCAGTGAGTTGGTTCTGGATTGCGCGCCCATAGCACCGCGATCGACGTGTCCGTAGCGGTCGGAGGAGTAGCCCATGAGGGGGTTGTTCATGATAGAGTCGTGGAGACCAGGAACATCTGCCATCAACCGAGCACTACTCCGATTCTTGTTCATCCCCGGACGTCCAAATGGGCCCCTGCCGCCCCTGTTTGGTCCAGGCGCGAAGCCTGCGCCCTCAGGGTTTTGACGAATCTGCTTGGCGCTGGGTGCTGAGCGGTTGCGACGCGACGTGACGCTCATCATGTCGAAGTTGTCGGGGTCGATGATTGGGCCTCCACGACCGCCCATGGGATCGAAGAAGTCATCGCCATCGTCATCATCGTCATCAAATCCGCCCATTGATGGGGGTGGCGGAGGACGTCCCCGACCACGACCCATCGGACCCATGGGAGGCCCCATGGGAGGTCCCATAGGACCGGGACCCATTGGACCACCACGTCCGCCTCGCATGTTCATCTCCTGCTCTCTGATCTGGAGTTCTCTCTGCCTAAGCATCAGTTCTCTCTCGCGAAGTGCCAGGTTGTTGGAAGAGCCTCCGGCGCTCTCATAGGGACCGCCATTGACAGCACCGTCTGGAACCATGT